TCCATCCGGCCTGAAAACCCGGCAACGAGATGCCGAAGCCTTCGCCCATCCAAGGGTTCGGGAACGGTCCGAAGGCGATCCCATGATTCCCCATGGCCATGAAGCCGGGAACCTCGGACAGGATCTGAAACGCTTCACCGCGTCAGCTACTACTGAAGGTGCTGGCACCACTGAAATACTGCAGCCAAATGGCAGGATTTGTCATTTGGGCTGGCATGTTCTGGTGCATGTTCTGGTGCATGTTCTGGTGCATGTTCTGCTGCATGTTCTGCTGCACGTTCTGGACATTTTGCTTGTAGAATCCCATCATGCACTGCATGACTTGGAGGTTCCAAGCCTCCTGGCAGTCAAAACTGGTACGACGAGAGCGAAAAGTAGTCAAAGAGGTGGTCAATGCCATCGCGATGCTGCTGCTGCTGCATTTACATGGCTTACAACAAGATGCCTGTGGAAAGACCCAAGCAAAAAGATACGAAAAGAAGCAAAGATTTATTGCCTGAATACTCTGCCGTTCTTGCGTCCCATGTATCCCATGCTAGGAGTTCAGTCTGGACTTTGCTCCCACAACAATCCAATCGAGCAGTTCCTTTCTGAACCTCGCGGAAGGCTCCTGCTGGCGGAAGTTAAGATTTGGCTGCGCCGCTGACACGGATGGCATTGGCGTCATGGGCGCGAAGCAGGAATGCAAATGGATGCACTGGCAGAGTCACGGAGTTGGGACAAGCTTGAGGAAAAGGCCGCGGTGACACACCCAAGTACCTCCCGTCATGGTCATCCACAAAAAACTTCAAGCGCTTTGATACGCTTTGATCCTCTAAAGATGCAGTACTGTGCAGTCGGCGTGCTGGAGTCTCATAATGATTATAATGAAATCCACAGAAGGCTCACGTCACGTCACGTATTGGACATGTTTGGATCCCACGCAAGTCTCTCTGATTCCCATCCATCATCCTTCCTCCTTCCTTCCATTCCGCCTCTCCATCTAGGCCATCGGACGTTTCTCAACCGGTGCAGGCCACTGCTTCATGATGATCTTCATGGGGATATCTGGGCCCAGCTTGGCACATGCCCAGATAATTTCCAACAACCCTCCAGAATTGTTGCGAAAAATCCAGGTTTCCAATCCTACACATGGCCTCCTGCGTCCTTTCACAAAACAGAGATTCAATGACAGGAAACAGGACCAGCTAGCTGCGAAACCATTTCCGCAGATGCGGCCGAGCCTCCATGCTGTGTCACGGTGAGTTGTACTGCGTGATGGGTTCATGCATCATCAGCAGTGACGGCACCAGGTGCGCTGGTCTTCGGCACTCCAAACCTGAGGGTCAGCCATTCGTACGAAATAGGACAACTTTTTGATTCAGCCAGCAAACTATTGAAGCAACCAAAGTGGGGGAACGAGAAGGCATGGATCAACAGATATTTTCGTTGGTCAACATCCACATTGCTTGATGATTAACTGATTGGTGCTAAAATATATCCATTCTTGCTGGCTGATAGGTTGGCGGAGCAACCTCATATCATATTCCCAAGAATGGGATGTGACCTTTGGGATGGGTTCGATATGACATGCGCAAAACAATGGAGTGATGGATCTCCGATTGGGCTTTACATTAGTCGTCACAAGGGTCGACGTCAACCAAGAAAGTTTGGAATAGTCCTTCAACCTGTGTCTGAAAGCAAACACTGAAGAGAATGTGAGGAATAATCAATCCGATCCTCTCTCCTCTTTGTCAAAAATTCAGGAACATTCCTTACCTTCAAGCACCTGGCAAACGATGCCACACCGCAGCCTCCTTCAAAAGACCTCCCCCCGAGTTCATTTTGATTTTCCGGACGTTTGATTTCTCGTCATCCTCCGAAAACTCTGGGCCACCGTCCGGCAGGTGCTTCCATCACGAGCCAATTTCAATCAGAGGCCACACCAGCTTCACCCTTTTGAAAGAGAGTCGAGGAGCTGCAACGGACGTGGAAACACCACAGAAACAAACTGAAACAGGCCGCTGATCTTAGCCGCTTACGGCCATGGAAACTTTAACCGCAACAATTTTGTGGACAGCTGACCCTGACTCCAGCCATTCAGTCCTCACGTTGTCAGGGTGGGTGTCTCTGAGTGCTCCGGGGAAGCTTCCACATTTTAAACGATGAAAAGCCTTGAAAACGTGGACCGGAATTTGATGTGGCAGAGCCACCGAACACAATGATTCTGGTCACGGTTTTCAAGGACGAAGTTATATATTTACAACTGACTGGTGGTGCAAATTATGTACATCGCACCATCAACTGTGCATCAATGCAGCGCATCTAAATTGGAAAGCTTCGCGCTACACGGTTGCCAGAACCTGTGGCCGATAGTGAATCACGCGCTTACTTTGAAAATTGTGGCCAATGGCCCTGACTTTAATTAGTATCTGCAAACCCTATCAACACCAATCAGCCAACAGGTTTTAGCGATTGCTCACATGAATTATAGGTTCTTGCACTGGTGGCAAGAAGAGGGCATCTCTGGCCCTTCGTGCACCTGTCCTGAAACCCCATCTGGGGAGTGCGGACAGCGATATGCATTGGCAAGGCGCCCACGGGATTTTTTCATGATCATTCCCAATTCCCAATCGCCAGCTTTCTGCATTGACCACATGGAAGAAACCAATGGCCCCTGCACGACCCATACACATAATAACGTAAATGATATTAAATATATTTAAATATGTCATGATTCTTGGAATATACTTCCATTCTCCTCATCTTGGACTCTGGTTTCACAATCTTTCCGATGTTTGATGTCAAAAACCCGAACTCCCCATGTTTGAAGCGACATTCCCCCCCCTTGTTTGATGCTAGAATTCCCAAGTTTGACGCTAAGAATCTCCCATGTTTGATGGTTCACCGAGTTTGACAAATCTTCATGCAGTGGATCACGATTCCCGCGGTCACCATCGTCGGGCGCGCCCCGACTCTTGGGCTCGCCACCTTGCCCGGCACTGAAAATGATGATTTTCCATTTTTTGAAGTTTGAAAACCATCAAATGTATGGTTCTTAGCATCAAAAATTGTCATTTTCCCAACCATGGGGATGAAATTAATTCAAGATACCAGCAAACGGCCAACACATGGAATATTAACTATCCGAAAGGGGATATATACAATGGCATACTATCCCTAAATCAAGGTTTATGAAATAATCTGAAATGGCTGGAAGATCCCCAAGAACCAAGTTCAACACTTCGGCATCACTTCGCCTTCCAAGTTTATTTTGTTCCATGTTTCTCAAGCAATCCGACAAATATTGCGGACATTTGCGGACCTGGACTTGTTTCACACAAAATGTTGCGATCCACCCGCCTGCCGCGGCCTTTGTTGAACACCTTGACTGCTCCTGCGCGTCATGAGCGAACAAGTGGTGCGATGATAGCCCGCAATATCCTGTAATTGTTGCGTGTTCTTTTGTCCTGAACCACACCTGGCTAGGGGAACGCATCAGGGCATAGGAGTTAGGTTGGCTACAACAATAACCACAACCGCCAACGACAAGGACACTGCCACCAAGAATCGCTACGACGTGACCAGGATAAGGACAGCAACCATGACAACATTAACGACAAGGACGAGGAAGACGAGGACGAAGACGAGGAGGAAGACGAGGCAGAAGACGAGTTGGCAGTTGAATGATTGGCTTTGCTTTGATGGATGGATTCGAAGATGCTTGGATGTGAAGTCATGCTCTTTCTCTCTCTCTCTCTCTCTCTCTCGCTCGGTCTCTCTCTCTCTCTCTCCCTCCCTCCCTCCCTCCCTCCCTCCCTCTCGCTGAGTTCTTGATTTTGCGGTCCGTGATGCTTGGCGGCCTACATAAGCATTGCCAGTCAAATCGGCGAGACAATGATCTTATTGTTTTGAGACTGTGATTTTTCGCAGACTTGATTGGGATGCCGTTCAGAAGCTTGCGGCTCCTGGACCGGAGAAGCGGGGCGCTGCTTTTTTCCTCTGCCACCTTCCACAATGCTTAAGACCTTGATGTGTTTGGCCCGGCTGTCATGACATTGGCACTTTTTACATCTTTTTACCACAACGTGTCAGCTTGCCCTTGTCCTTGCATCATGTGCATCCCGCCTGGACCGGACGAAGTACTTGCAGCAAGGGGTGGTCATTTCTAGTTTGGTTGCTGACATGGATGGTGTCCATGCTTGGATGGTGTTTGTACACCTGTTTGGGATCTCCAGCATGGCTCTTAGTGTCTTGGTGATACATTGTTCCCAGTTTGCTCCATTTTGTAGTTCGTTTCTGGGATTGCCTCTTTTTTCTCCTTCATTTGAGGTTGATTAATTACTGGCGGGTCTCCGGTACGAGTACATATTCGGAGTTTTCGTGCCACTGACTCGTTCGGTGCAAGTCCACGCACGCTGCTCGTTTGAAGGCATTTCAAAAGTACGGAGTTTTGGGTCCTGTTTAGGAATCAATTACATGGTTCGATCGAATGATGCTTGACCAGTTTTTGTCCAGTCCACAATGGTCTGAAGCAAGAAAACATTGTATGCTTCAACAAACACGGCCAATTAGATGAATGTAAATGATGTAAATGGCAATATCTTTCTGACGCCTCAGAGCCTTTCTCCATATTGCGCTGGTGTATGTGGAGCCTGTGTTGTGATGTTGTGTAATATTCACTCGGAGCCTGTGTTGTGATGTTGTGTAATATTCACTCGCCCAAAATCAAATCACTATATGTTCAGTCTAAGTGGATTTTCCCAAATTTTCCAAAATCCATGTTGGATTGTGATGGCTCCGCTCCCGGAAATCTGTGGTCAACTCAACTGGGGCTCCTCCGTTCAACTGACGCTGGGCCTCGCTCAAGGCCCAGCCAGTGGCGATGTCCAACACGCGATCGATGGCCGTGGCCCCGCCGCGCAAGTTCTTCATGGAGGGCAGCAAGCCTTCCACCTGCGGTCGCAATGCAATATGTCCTTTGAACAAATCCATACAAATCCCAGGGTTGGTTTGGTATACCGATCGTCACCATTGTGCATCTTTTACCGGAGGCACCCAGTAGGTTGTGAGGAAATTCAAGAACAATGATGGGGGTGCTCATCTATTCAGCTAGGAACCAGTGGGAGGAGGACATGTAACGGTGGCAAAGGGGTGTCATTTTGGAGTAACAAGGAACCTTGGTTGGGCGGTCATCCACGTGTTCTCTTACCCAAGTAAGGAGCAAAGCGGAGATGCGAAGGAAGAAAAAACATGATGGTATAGCGGTTTGACCGTTTGACCCAAACGTTTATAGTTGCACGTAGTCGCACTAGTTGAACTACCAAGAAATGAGCACAGCATAAGTATTTAAAAGCGGAAATGTGGGTATTCAGCCAAGCATGTAGGGAAGTACAACCTAACAAAGAAGGCAAACAATCAACAATAGCAAGCGTTGAATAGAGCTTGCTAAAATGGTTGCAGGCAACCAGCTCTTGGATGTAGACACGCGATTTCCACAACCGCAGAACAAGAAATAACAAAAATTGATGCAACCAGCAGACAGTAAGTAACCATGTCAAACACCTGCATAGACCTTCGCAACAATAACTATGGCCCGTAGACCTTCATCGAATTGTGATAGAATTGTGGACAAGAATGCGTGAATGCTACTGGCAGAATGGAGACTACAATAGGGGGATCTTCCATTCTATTCGTGGGTTTTACGCTAAGGTTGAAAGGGATTTCTCATGATTTCTCTAACACCTCTGAACGTAGGGGTGTACATTGCAGTGGTGGGGGGTGCCTGGAAGTTCGAAACAGGTGGCTCAAAACAAACACATGGGTTTTAGAGCGCAGCGGACGCTGTTTCAAAAGAATTGGTTCGTCACTAAGCATTGAAGATCATCCCAAATGTCGGAAAACCCATAGAAAGTCTAAAATCACGCAGACAACCATGGGTAGCTTCCAACGCCGAAAGGCAGCTGCCAAGGGCAACTCCAAACCTTCAGAACGGACTTGACCAGAAACTTACGGTCGGCCTCCTGGAGGCTTCTACACTGCAATGCCAGACGGTCTCCAAAGTTTTACTGTTTGAATTTTCCTGTTTGGTTCAGGAGGATTCCTCAATATATTACTAAACTGGTTTCAAACGGCTCAGTCTGATCGGATAAATATACTCTAATTTCAAGTGCCAATCATTTTGACCCTTACACATGGCCACGGCTCCAAAAAGAGGTAGCAACGAAAACAACAAAATCATCAGAGGTTCATCCAATTTAGGGGCAAATATGTTTGAGCCACACCATGCATACCCACATGTTCACTCCCGTAACAAACTTGGCGCTCCTTCCCATGGGACAAGCCCTTCTCCAAGACCGCACAGCCATAGTGGTCCCTGGCCACTTGGGCCACGTTCCTTGACGAAGTCGGCGAAAGCCCACCAAACCGTCAGAAAAAAATGAAGCCCAACGAAATCCACGGAGGATGAGTTCCGAGTTTGGAATCGGTGTTTTCCTCTTCGATATCGATTCCATGGTTGTTTCGGGAACAAGACATTACACGGTGTGACAAAGAGAAATTGAAAGGATCCATGATTACAAAAACCGGAAACCACTGCCAGGATGCTGTGCGATGATTTCAATCAGTGCCTTGCGATAGGTCGCCGGAGCATGTTCCTTGGAAGGGCAAACGGCAAACGATACTTGGCACTGGAGGCTGCCATCATCATCACACCTTTGACCAAATCAAAACTTAAAAAATCTTATATATCTTCAAAATCCACGGAGTTGCAGCTGGTTTCCAACGAAATTACAATAATAAAATAATTCAATACGATGAACGTGAGGAAGTTCCCCCTTATTGCTCATTCTCTATTAGTGTCGTCGTGCTCACCCAGATGGTATGGCAAGAGCAAAAGCGGAGGCCCTTGCAGCTGTGGCTCCATAAAGACTTGCATCACGAAATTCCCAAAGGGATGCTGGCACAACTCCTGCTTTCCAGGAACGTCCAAACTAAACAGCCGAAGTTCTGCAGAATTCGCTGGAACAATTGGTGTGCACTGTTCTTCCTGTTCTTTCTCAATGAATGAATAAAAACGTCAGACCTGAAGGATAGGAGTTCAACCTGCTTCGACCCTGACGTCCTTGGCATGGTACAACAGATCCTCCAACAGTGGCTTGATAGATGCTTCGCCAAAATGCTCCAGGATGCGCTCCTGCCATGGTCCATGCTGTCCCACGCGCTGTGGGATGTTGGGGTAAAGCTTGTACCCATTTGTACCCTAGCTCCCTATGACATTTCGAAAGGGAACATCATCCATGAACTCTATAGTCATTGATTGTGTTGTATCATGTTGTATCTATACACATAATGTCTGTGTGGGTTCCTGTTGCCAGGTTCGGCTGTGGATGTCAGATGTAGTGGAGACCGGTTGAGCTGCAATTCATTGAGCTGTGTCAAACCACTGGGGTCTTGAAGAGTCAAACACCTAGCATCACAGCAAAGCGTTGCCCAGGCAAAAAGTTCAGATAGGGTTGAATG